ACACATCTGAATATTTGGGTTGAAGTGTTCTGGAACAGTGTTGTAAATACAACTTAACCACTGATTTCTAGTCGTGAAAATATGTCTTAAATGTCTGACATAACAATAAGATGCAACATGAACAATATTGTATGAAGCGTTTGTTTACATCATGTTGCGCCTCACGTTATGAAAACAATGTTTGGGATAACACGATTCAAAACTTCGTGTTGTATACAGTTTGATGTTGGATATTCATCCAAATTATGGTGAAAACCAAAAACATTTGTGTGTTAAAATAACATTTGTGTGTTCAAAAAGTAAAGAAATGCTTATATTACTTCACTGGCCAACGGAGCAAACCAACACCGTGACGTCACACACAATACCTTCAAGTTAAACTGAACTTTTATTTTGACGGGTTGCCATGAATACCTTTACATTTCTGTGTGTATGACATGATGATAGTTTTACTCAAATTAAATGGTCAAATGCTCATGAAGTGACTCTCAGAGCAGTGAGATGTTGTTCATGTATTTATGTCCTCGTTAGTGAGACGGCAGACGTTAATATCACCGGAAGCATCACGTGCGCTTCAGTACGAGTGGTAAACAAAACCGCACGTCTGCGCCATTCATTGACACAGAGACACGCAGAATTTGTATTTAAATATGAATCGTTTTGCGGCTTAATATTTACAAATACTAGTGGGAGTGGGAGTGTGCTCACTTGTGTGTGCACGCATCAGGGCGGAACTCCGCTGTGCACAATACAGAGAACGCGATCATGTAACGTAGAGACATAAATGACATGCCGTCATGTAAATGAGATAAATAACATAAGGCTATGATATAGACGTGTTCTATCGTAAAATGACTTCTGTTGTGATCTATATATATATATATATATATATATATATAGCCCCCCTAATATAATGGCAGGGGAAACACTGTCATATAGTTAATATCACGCGAAAAGAGACGTTTGTTCTCCAAAAATCAGCATGATTACAAATGTGATATTGATTTTATACAACAGTTCAATAAACAAGTTGATATTAAGAGACTTTTAGACACCATATTGCCTGTTTTTGCTCTGTTTCACCTACAAAAATAATTCCAAACAGAACCACAGCACTGTTTTGCGTTTCTAAACCATGTCTAAAACCATGACGTGTTTCGTTCCTGAATGAATCAGCCGTTTAAATGATGATTTTTTTTTTTTATAATTTCAAATAGCAAAACATTATTTATGCATTTTTGTAACTGCAGGTTAAAGTATTCCATGTCCCTTTGAGCTGCATTAAACAGTGTGTAAATACATCTAAATGCCACTTCAGATGCAGCTTCTGTGTTTCCTCTGCATTGCAAAGATACATTTTGTTGATACTGATTTCATTTGCCTGGTAAAAGCCCAAAAGTCTTATTCTAACCAACTGATTAAATGTAAGAATTTGACTCAAAAGATGATCCACACTTTTAGAAAAAAATGGCTTTATAAAGGTAAAAATTCCCATAAAAGGTAAAAATCCATTTAAACTCATTGAAAAAGATAAGCTACTTTCTATCACTGCTGTGAACTAACCACCACACAGAATATGAAGAATATCAAAAACATTAGGAGTCAGCTGTCCACGGTAGTCCTTAAGATGTCAGCACAATAACACACTGCAAAATATCGTCTAATTATTGTTATCGATAAAATTCCAGAAAATATAGAGATATCTTTTTTTGTCAATATCGCACACCCCTAGTTTATATATATTTTAATTACAGTGGAAATCAGATACTAAATGTGAACTTGACTGACTGCTTCACTTCCACCTTAAGAGAAAAGCTCTGATTGGGGGATTTAAACTCTTAACATCTTTTAGCCCTAAACATGAAAGCTAGTAGAGGCTAATGGAAACCAGTTCAATGTAAAAAAAAAAAAATGTTTTGAGCAGAAATAACCAGCGGGCCAGTATCGCAACAATTAAATTATGGTAAATTGTGCAGCCCTAATAAAAAAAAATTTTCTTTTTTTTTTTCACTCCATCTGTATGATCCACATGTGCAGTTGTTAAAACAACGCTGCAGTCATTTGGTACACATGCATGCCGAACCAAAAGACCTATACCGAAAATTTTCAGTAAAATTTGTGTACCAATACACCCCTATTAAGTAGGTTAAACAATTGTTTTTACAAAATACAAGTGATGAGTCAGTACTATTTTTGTGGTAATCAACTTTATGCCACAAATAATGTAGATTGATGTTAATTTATGTTTATCTGGATCTGGGAACTTTCCTTCAAAGTTCTTGTAAGATAAAATGTTTACAGTAAGTGTAATCCCTATTTCATTTTCAGCAAACGTGAAGAGGAGAAGAAGAGAGGGGTTCTTACAAATCCTGTTAAAATGAAAGAAATCCAAAAGATGGTGAGTAGTGTACATTGCATGATATTTTGTGGTATGTTTAGTGCTTCACTTCAAAATGTTACCTTCACTTCAAAATGAATTGGTCTTACCTCACAGGAAGTTGCATTAGAAATGTATTTGACAGAAATATAAATTTGCCTAATTGCAATCCAAGGTTAATGACATTCTTGGAAATTAGTATTTCGCTCTGGTCCACAAAATGAAGGTCAGTTTACTAAATATCATATTAGACTTTCTGAAACACTTTGTCTCTCAATGAACTTTTCTTTGTAAATAAATAAATTCTGCTAAAAAAATTGTACTTAAAATCAAATTCTACTTAGAATAAAGCATGTTGTTTGTTACCTCAGTTCAAATTCAGGAGTTAAATTGGAATGTAAAAAAAAGGCATTCTCATTTTTTTTCTCAACATAGTTGCGTCACAATCTTGAAAAGGAAAAGAGAAAACAAAAAAAGAAGAAAAGAGAGGAGAAAGAGAGGAGGAAGGAGAAAAAGCACAGAAAGAGGAGTTCAAGTTGCAATGAGGATGGCACAAAGAATAGGTAAAAAATCAATTAATTTGCTGGCATAAATCTCACTTTGCTCCTTGTTTGAGAGACAGCGTACCTCATTTAAATAAGTTCTTTAACAATATGTCAATATGTGTGTCTGTTTTGCCAACCAGGTCAAAAGAGAAACGATCAGATGTCTTAACCTCTAATAGACATCACAAATCAGGCTATGGACTTCAAGTAAGTCATTTTCTCTCTGGCTATCCTGCTGGCATGTTTCTTTTGTATTTTTATTAAACATTTTATTTAATTTTTAATATTAAATAATGTTCCTTGGCATATGGCAGCGCAGAGCTTCTGCATTGCCATAATTAGAGCCCGACCGATATATCGTTTAACCGATATGAGCCTGTCACCGATATGTTGGTATCGGCGAATATGCCGCTGATATGAAAATTTTTTTTACAGAACATATAATGCAGATGAAATAGTAGATGTTTGCTACTGGTGACCCAGGTCACTGTAGTGTAGAGATGCGCGGATGAGCTCAAACTTCACCCGAGTCTGCTGCATTAAAGCCTGTGTTAAGGCCACCGGAGCTGATCGCGGCCACTCAGTCAATGCTGGTATTTATACCGGCTGTGCCGCGGCCCAGAACTCATGCTTATCACATCGGTCACATCACATCGCGCGGCGCTACAAAATACAATAGAATTCTATTCTATTTTGTTGCGCCGCTCGTGTCCGGTGTAGAATAGAACCCATTATAATCAGTGATATTGTCTACTACACTGGATGCAGTAAACTGATGGCTCGTTCTATTTATGACGTGCTGACACAAAGTTCAAATGATTTTCAACGGTCGCTTTGTCGCGTCCTATTGCGGTGCAGACACGGTGTCAACATAGTTTGTCAGTACACAGTCAGTAACGTAGCAGATTGAAAAGTTAGTATTTTTCTGCAGTCCAATAGACGGCAGTGTGGTGGTGGCTTGAGTCTGTTGAATGGTGATTTAACGCTACGTTGTCACCTAGTTGGTGAGACTCAGTGCTAAGTAAATAAACAGCAATGTCCCTGTCTTTTACTCTCACAGTGAGCTTATCATACTCATTTGCTACATTAGTAGGGCCCAATGATTTCCGCGATGCAGAAAACATGGACGGAATCGCGTAATCCAGTCATAAAAACGGAATACTGTATATCGCGGAATTTTATGGAATTTGTCTTATTTTTGATGAATAAATAAAAAACCGGTCAGTACACACACATATATATATATATATATGTATGTATGTATGTATGTATGTATGTATGTATGTATGTATATATACATACATGCATACATACATACACTGGACAAAATTATAAAAGCAACACTTGTTTTTGCCCCCATTTTTCATGAGCTGAACTCAAAGATCTAAGACTTTTTCTATGTACACAAAAGGCTACAGTACCAGTCAAAAGTTTGGACACACGAATGGGAAGTGTGTCCAAACTTTTTACTATACTGTACTATAGGGTTGTGCCGATAAACGATAGTATCGTGTTAAAAGCAGTAAAAGCAGATGTCTTTGTCGATAGTCAAGACGATATTAGGCTCATTCTCCTATTAATGTATTAAATAATAATAATAATAATAATAATTATTATTATTATTATTAGGCGGCCCATTATAATTCGGCTATTATCAAATTGCCCCGCTTTTTCATTCAGCACTGTATTTCACACACACACGCGTGCAAATGAGGAGCCTGTAGCCAATGAAGGAGTCTCCAACCACAAACACAGACACATATCATCTGCTGATATAAGGTATTTCGTTGCACTTTAACAAGTAATCTGAACGGCCTATATATGTGCAATATTTTAACCGAGCCCTCACTAACTGAGTTTAATGCCACAGTTACGTTAGAACGCATCTCATTCTTGTTTCTGTGGCGGTGCGTCGGGCTCACCATGGGGCGCGCGGTCCGGAGCGCTGCATGACTGATGTATCTGTTTAATTTAAATTTACTCCAAATATATGAACTTACCTGTTTTAAATACTTTATATTTAATGTGTTCGTTTATGTCCAATATTTAGTGTTAAACTGCTGGTCTTTAAAATAAATCTACTTTTCAAAACACCAAATAGTTATGAAATAGCCTATGACAAGCACAGGAAGTCTCTCTTGCCCCCACCCACCCATGCACGATAATATCGTCTGTCGGCGATCTCACGGACTGGCGATATGACAATTTGAAAAATGACCATATCGCCCAACACTACTGTACTATAATATAGCCTACACATAAAGAATATCGGCTGATATATCGGTATGTCTTCTTTTTACTCCCTAATATCGGTATCGGAATCGGCCCCCCAAAAAGCCCATATCGGTCGGGCTCTAGCCATAATCATTCATGCTGACCTCCGTAATGGATGATTAAAGTAGTTACTGGGTCTGCATTACCAAATTCATTTATTTTCACTTATGACATCCACACCACTGTTTAACACTGATCTGGTAATTGTTATCAAATATGATTTTGCCATCTTAAATTTGTGAAATTATTGTACCTGATTTATTCCTTAACCGTTTCAGTTACCAGCAAACAGATCTTCAGTATCTAACCACACAGATCACGGTTCAAGAGACAGGAGTCGGTCCCCGTTGTCTCATAAAACAGACAGGGACAATCACTCCTTTAGAGTGACAGAGCAGAGACCTAAAACCAAAGCCCCCAGCCCATCAAGACACAGAGACCGCAATCAAAGACAATATACTAATTACAGCAAGTATGATATGTTCATGAGTTGATCAATTAATCTAGCACATATAGCAAGCATGAATGTTTTATTCTTATCTATATCAATTACTCTGAACATGAGTTTCTTATTTAAAGGGGTCATCGGATGCTACATGCACTTTTACAAGTTGTTTGAACTGAAATGTGTGTTGGCAGTGTGTGTTCACAACCACCCTATAATGATAAAAAAAAATTTTTTTAATCTGGTTAAATGTTTTCCCCTTTCTCAAATCGAGCCAATCTCAGATGCCTGTCTGCAACACACAGCCATTAATGTCTAAACCGCTGGCCACAAAAGTGAGTACACCCCCAAGTTAAAATGTCCAAATTGGGCCCAAAGTGGCCTGTTCTGAGTGGAACCTGTCCTGTTAAACTGCTGTATGGTCTTGGCCACTGTGCTGCAGCTCAGTTTCAGGGTCTTGGCAATCTTCTTATAGCCTACGCCATCTTTATGTAGAGTAACAATTCTTTTTTTCAGATCCTCAGAGAGTTCTTTGCCATGAGGTGCCATGTTGAACTTCCAGTGACCAGTATGAGAGAGTGAGAGAGATAACACCAAATTTAACACACCTGCTCCCCATTCACACCTGAGACCTTGTAACACTAATGAGTCACATGACACCGGGTAGAGAAAATGGCTAATTGGCCCCAATTTGGAAATTTTCACTTAGGGGTTTAGACATTAATGGCTGTGTGTTGAGTTATTTTGAGGGGACAGCAAATTTACACTGTTATACAAGCTGTACACTCGCTACTTTACACTGTAGCAAAGTGTCATTTCTTCAGTGTTGTCACATGAAAAGATATAATAAAATATTTACAAAAATGTGAGGGGTGTACTCACTTCTGTGAGATACTGTATGTTTGCGCGAATCATTCATGATCCAGCCTCATCTACTGAAGAAGTGAGTATAATGTTTTGTAATGAATCTTTGCAAATCGCCTTTCCTAATAATGTGCTAATTAGCAAGT